CGATAGATGAGGAGGAGGCTGGTACCTCTTCTGAGTGGATTATTTTGTCTTAGCCCCTTCAGTTTATTTATTTTACAGAAAACAACCAAAATTTGAGGGTTGAGGATCACAAAGAGACGCGTGGAAGATGGTCCGTGTATGTTTCGGTTTAGAATTTTAGATGCGGAAAGTTAAAAAAAAAAGATTCAATAATAAATAAAAATGAAAATACGTTCTAGAAACGAAAAAGCGGTAAAGGATATTTTTATTTTCGTACAAATATTTGTTCAGCCAGTACTAAAGTGGTAAAGGATATTACTTATATTTAAGGATATTACTTATATTTTCTTTAAAATTGTACGAATGACGTGGAAAGTGAAAGGTTTCAGCCAGTACTAAAAATGATTAAATTACTAGATTGGTATTCTAAGTTGAGCATATATTTTAACTTGGCCTTTTTGGTGGCACGGTCCTTTTTTTTTTTTTTTTACTAGAATTCCACGGAATTGTATTTTTTTGGGGAAATTTATCCCAACTCATTAATCTCTCAAAATTATTAAATCTACACACGCCTTCTCTTTCAACCTCTCCCGATTCAAATTTCTTTCACCCATTTTATCTAATAAGACTCTCAGTTCACCCTCTTTTTCTCTCTCATTAATGGAGACCCATCGTTCTCCTTCAACCTCTCCCAAATTCGGATTAGGGGTTTAGATTCGAATCAGAGGAGGTTGAAGGAGAAAGATAGGACTTTATCGACGAGAGTTAATGAAAAAGCGAATGTTTTTGGGATCTTATTAGGTAAATAGTTAAAAGAAATTTAAAGTGGGAGATATTGAAGGGGAAAATGGTGTACATTTAATAATTTAAGAGGTTAAGATAACGAGGGAAATTTCCCCCAAAAATTTACAATTTGCCGCAATGCTGACCGCCGGCAAGAAAATTTAGTTTTATTAAATACCAAGTTAAAATATCATGGGAAAAATATGTCCAGGCCCTAAAAGCAGAAAGTTCATGTGACCCGCCCCCTTGTATTTTGCCTCATGTGATTCAGCCCCAAATACACATTGTATTTGTGTTAAGGCCCCAAAGTACCAGATCCTGAGAAAAACCCAACAAAAGTTACAAATTTACCCTTTGATTTGATTGAGCTTGGTAACTGCGCCCATCCCTTTAACCCCATCCCATCTCTCTCTCTCTCTCTCTCTCTCTCTCTCTCTCTCTCTCTCTCCACTCTATCTCTCAGCTTCTCCTTCTCTCTCACTTCCGTCATGGCCGCTGAAAATGATCAGACTGAGGAGGTCGTGGAAGGCGAAGGCGAGGACGGTGGTCATGGAGTCGGAGGTCGGGGAGTCATCTTAGAAACAGCTCGTGAACGCGGGTTCAACAACAAACACGGAACATGGTCCGGGGACCCGCGAGCTGACGGAGCCTGGGGCTTTGGTCTGATGCATCGTTGTTCTCCCCTTTCTAGGTTACGGAATATCTTTACCCAAATCAATGTCTTAATCAAGATAGTGCTCTTGTTTTCTTGTAATTTATGAAGGGAATCGATATTGGATTTTTGTAGTTTTTCTCTTTCATTTAATTGAAATGAGATCTCCTTGGATTCTTGAACAGCAGTTTGGGTTTTTCTTTAATGCCTTTTTCTTGTGTGATTTGGTGATTGACAGAGTTTTGTATAAGAGATTAACAGCAGAAATTCAAAAGCTCACATTGAATCTTCAGACATATCGACATTTAGCTAAAAATTAAAGATAATGTGATTAAAAGTCGACTAAAGAATCTAAGAACCTGTGAATTTGAAAGGGGGGTCAAGGAAAATTAGAACTATAAATGTTAGTTCTAAGGGCTGGAATGTTAGTTCTAATGGCTAGAACTAACAAAGAGCCCAAGAGTCCCAAGGCCCAAGGCCCAATCAAAGACCTTTAAATATATATTGTAGTTGCATGGGCTTGAACTCCTAACATTAGAACTAATGTGGTTAAAATTAGAACTAACTTGTTATAAGATAGGACTAACTTGGTATAAATTAGAACTAATTTGTTATAAAATAGAACTAACTTTGTATAAATTAGAACTAATTTGTTATAAAATAGAACTAACTTTGTATAAATTAGAACTAATTTGTTATAAAATAGAACTAACTTTGTATAAATTAGAACTAATTTGTTATAAAATAGAACTAACTTTGTATAAATTAGAACTAATTAATTATAAAATAGAACTAACTTGGTATAATTAGAACTAACTTGGGATAAATTAGAACTAATGTGGTTAAAATTAGAACTAACTTGTTATAAGATAGGACTAACTTGGTATAAATTAGAACTAATTTGTTATAAAATAGAACTAACTTTGTATAAATTAGAACTAATTTGTTATAAAATAGAACTAACTTGGTATAATTAGAACTGACTTGGGATAAATTAGAACTAATATGGTTAAAATTAGAACTAACTTATTATATGAGATAGAACAAACTTTGTATAAATTAGATATAACATGGTATAAAATAGAACTAACGTGGTATAATTTAGAACTAACTTGTTATAAAATAACGCTTAATGTGGTATAAAATAGAACTAACTTGCTATAAGTTACAACTAACTTGGTATAAATTAGAAGCAACGTGGTATACACTAGAACTGACATGAACTGCGACAGAACTAACATGGTGTAGATTAGAACTAACACGCTACAGAATAGAACTAACACTATGCAGATTAGAACTAACACTCTACAGAACAGAACTAACACTGTGCAGATTAGAACTAACACTCTACAGAATAGAACTAACACTGTGCAGATTAGAACTAACACTCTACAGAATAGAACTAACACTGTGCAGATTAGAACTAACACTCTACAGAATAGAACTAACACTGTGCAGATTAGAACTAACACTCTACAGAATAGAACTAACACTGTGCAGATTAGAACTAACACTCTACAGAATAGAACTAACACTGTGCAGATTAGAACTAACACGCTACAGAATAGATCTAACATGGTATAGATTAGAACTAACACGCTCCAGAATAGAATTAACATTGTATAATTTAGAGATAGCTTGTTATAAAATAGAACTAACTTGTATAAATTAGAACTAACTTGGCATAAATTAGAACTAACGTGGCATAAAATTAGAACTAACATGGTATAAAATTAGAACTAACTTGTTATAAAATAGAACTAACTTTGTATAAATTAGAACTAATGTGGTTAGTTCTAATTTTTACCAGCTCGTGTTAGTTTTAATTTATTTAATGTGTTAGTTCTAGTGTTAGTTCTAACAGATATCGTGTTAGTTGTAATTTATTTAAGTCATTAGTTCTACGTAATTGTTGGGTCTAAACGCCATGTTAGTTCTATTTAATGATGTGTTAGTTCTAGCTTCTCTAGTGTTAGTTCTAACTGGTATCGTGTTAGTTCTAATTTATTTAAGTCGTTAGTTCCAGCGTAATTGTTAGGTCTAAATGTCATATTACTTCTACTTGATGATGTGTTAGTTCTAGCTTCTCCAGTATCAATTCTAACAGGTATCGTGTCAGTCCTAACAGGAGCTCAACTAGAACTAATATAGCCACTAGAACTAACGCTTATATTAGAACCAACACTAGCTGGAAGTAGAACTAACATTAAATAAGTCAGAACTAAATTAGAACTAACATAGAACAACATAAAATAAGTTAGAACAAACATTAAATAACTTAGAACTAACATTAAAACTAACATGAATTAGAACTAAATTAGAACTAACATAAAATAAGTTAGAACTAACATTAAATAACTTAGAACTAACATTAAATAACTTAGAACTAACATGAGTTATTGCTCATGATAGAGTTCAAAAAAGGGCGGGAAATTTCCCTCTATTTTTTCCATCAGATTGCATTAATGGGCGTGACTTTCCATGTAGTTTGTGGACCAGACGTCTAGGGAAGATAAGTGGAGGGGTAATTTCGGATTTTTTTTCAAAATACAATCTCTTTTTTTATACTGCTGACGTGGAAGGGCCTTAAAATATTAAATGGTACTTTTTGGGGCTGAATCACATGGGGCAAAATACAAGGGGGCGGGTCACATGAACATTCTGCTTTTGGGGCCTGGACATATTTTTCCCAAATATCATATTAATGCTGAAGCAAAAAATAATTTATGTTAAAGATGTATTTTATTAACTATTACAACAGATTATCATATATTTTATTATATAATATATCATATAAAAGTATAACAAACTAAATTATTATACTATATTACTATAAAAATACTATAATATAATAAATATTCATTATATTAATTAATAGTACTAAACAGTTCTACCGCCAACACCAATACACCCTGATATTATATTATAATAAGTATATTATATTAATTAATTGCATTTTTAAATACTATATTGAGAGTGGTTAATATATTAATATTAATTCCCAAAACTCAAAACACATAATTCAAAGTTTGTTTTGCCATAAATGTTTTGTTTTTGATTTTTACTCGTAAGTGTTTTGTGTCTATAAAAACACAATAGCTTCCAAACACGTTTTGTTTACATATTAGCAAAACATCGTGAAAATAAGGAAAACACCATGGTTGTCAAATTCTTCCTTGGCAAGTATATTGGTGGGGGGATGTTGTTGCAACACCAAAAAAGTTACTGCAAAAGCAAACTAAAACAAGGAAGTTGCACCAAATGTTGCGAGGTCTTCCAACAAAAACCCACAGGGTGTGATGTAAAATGACAAAGGCCAGACCTCAAGAAATCTACTTGGCGTTTGTGAGGGCTTATTTCTTTTGAAAATAGGAGCACTGGATCAAACTTACACAACTCCTTCTAATGGGAAAAACTCTGAAGATGATTAACGACAGCAAGCTCATCATCAGTGTATTAGCAGCTGCAACCTGAAGAATAAACTGAAGGAAAACACAAATGTAGTATGAAAGAAACTTAAAAGTCTGCGAAGTATGAACCATTCCATTAGGCATTCTCAAAAACAATATTTGGGTACATTAAATCGAGATGTCATAAATGCTCTCTTTCTCACAGTTGCTCAATAAAAAATAACAGTTGAAATATTTCGGAATCAAATAAGGATACAACATTTAGCAACACTAAGAACAAGTTTATCTATTAAATATGACTGAAAACAAAATAAGAAAGGACTATAGATTAACCGCATTTCCTGCAAATGCCAACTTTGGTATTATAGAAGATTCCTGAAAATTTTGTCATGCCCGGAGAGTAGCTAAATGATTCTAATGTTCATCCTTGATCTTCTTGTTCTTCTTCTTTGATTGATCCCCATGTGATCTGTCCGATGCTAGTGAACCATCGGTCAGATGGCTATCTGGTCTAGAACCACGAGAAGATCCGTCACCTGATCTGTGCTCTTCACGTCTCTTCTTTCTGGAAGGCTGAGGTGTTTCTTCGGTGCTGTGTGGAAAGTTAAAAGTATCCGCAGTTCCTTTGCTACCTTTCAGTACAGTTGACCGATGGGATGAGCTCCTGCCAGAACCTAATGCATGATAATCATAATTACAAATGAGCCCACAGTAGAATCAAGTGCATAATTTGCATTGCTTGAACAAAGTTTTCTTTTCTACTTGCTTCCACTCAAATAAGTGCTTTTCCACAGATATAGGATGTTTGATAACCAACATGAAAAAGGATTTCATGGAGAAATGCTAGCCACAGTAGCGACTTAGGGACTGTGGCTGCAATTGGGGACATCTGGCCCTAAAGCAGGCCTAAGTCCTAGGTCTTCTTAGTCCTACAGCCCCAAAGTAGGCCAGATGTCCCCTATTGCAGCCACGGTCGCTACTTCGCAACCGTGGCTAGCATTCCTCTGGAAAAGAGCAAGCCCATGAGATACAGTTTGAACCCAGATAATTGAATGCTAACCCATATGATCTTCCCTCTCCTCTTCTATCACTTGTAAATTGATCTCCATACAAGCTGGCCTTTAACTGAAAACTTCCAGTTCTTCTCTTGCTCCTGAATCCTGTTGACTGTTCATCCTAATCTTATCCAAATCTTCACATGTACATCTATTCTTATCCCTACTTCTTTCAATAATCGATTTCAAAGACAACACTTACATTTTAAAAAGATACCAACACCTTGGCTACATAACATTCTCTTACAAGAAGTGCTTTTGGGTATGTATTCTTGGAATGTATTTATGTAAAGCAATGCATAAGACATCATGAATATCTCAAGATTCTCAACAAACTTTACTCTGAAATTGGAATTGTACCAGCCTACAGCCTACCTCATCACGGGTAAAGGCAACAGATTAGGTGTGATCTCTGAATCCAACGGGCAGCTAGCTTCATAGTTTAGGCTTAAAAAGGTGTGATCCCATGCTTTTAATCTATGGGCTTCAAATCAAAATTCTATACCATTTCAAGCCCAAGTTCTTGGCCAATCATCAGATCTAGCATACATGCATAGTTAGCTATGTTGCCTAGATACGGGTACGTGACACGATAAAATTGTAAAAAGTAGGGTACAGGGACACAGCTGTATATATATATATAAAATAATTCACTTTAGATCAATATTGAATTAAATATCTATTACATTTTCATATTTTTTGTTATGTAAAGTGCACTTTAGATCAATATTGAATTAAATATCTATTACATTTTCATATTTTTTGTTATGTAAAGTGGAGATTATAAATAAGAAACTAATTGAATTAAATATCTATTACATTTTCATATTTTTTGTTATGTAAAGTGGAGATTATAAATAAGAAACTAGAGGAAAGTGTATGTTGCATGTGTGAATTAAGACGTCGGGATGGCAATGATCTTTTGGAGAATTAAAGACAAAAATGTTAAAGAAGACAAGAAAGAGAAGAGGAACATATAGAAAAGTTGTATGTTATATACTTATATTATTATGTAACTTTGGCTTATATAATCAATGACAAAAATGTAAGTTATGTAACTGATTTGAAGTTAATATCAAATTCTAATTTTCATTACTTTCATCTTGAGCATACAAAAATACAAGCCTACCTCGCAAAAGGAGAATTAAAAATTACAAGCATATCTTCACAAGTTAGAACTATACCCCAAATATTACAAGCATCCCTCAAAATATTACAAGTATATTGTTTAAAGTTGCAAATATACCTTCAAAAGTTAGATCTATATCCAAAAAACTTACAACTCACTAGCATATTCCAAAAGTTAAAACTATATTCCTTGCACCGGTTAGAAGACAATTAACATTCAACATTTTCATACTCATTAAATACAACGGTCTCAAGCTCTGGCTCGTCAAGAGAAAGGTTTGCAACTTCTAAAATGTCGGCACCATTGAATGATTCAAATTCATCTCCTCCTATGTCCCACATCTTTGCTATATTCCTTGCACCGGTTAGAAGACAATTAACATTCAACATTTTCATACTCATTAAATACAACGGTCTCAAGCTCCGGCTCGTCAAGAGAAAGGTTTGCAACTTCTAAAATGTCGGCACCATTGAATGATTCAAATTCATCTCCTCCTATGTCCCACATCTTTGCCTCCCCTTTAGAGTATTCCGAGGATCTCCTAGAAAGAAGACGGAGATTTGTGTGAACATATACCATATCTTCCGCTCGTTGTGGAGTCATCTTATTCCTCTTAAGAGAATGAATAAATTTATAAGTGCTTCGATTTCTCTCACAACAAGAAGAGGAACAAGGATGTCCAATCAACTTTAATGCTAACTCTTGCAATTTTGGTGTAGATGTTCCACAGATAGCCCACCAAGACTTTGCATCTATTTCCCCCTATCATCCAAAGAGTCATGATCCGCAAATATATCTTGTGCGGCGAAAAATTTAGCAAATTCCACATTAACCATTCTCTGCTCCTCGGAGTTAGGAAAATAACTTTTCAAGCATTTAGCTCTTTCATTTAAGATCTCGGGATCCATGTGTGGTGCAACTCGATTCGGGGCTTCAATGAGCCAAGTCGCGCTATAATATCTACAAGATAGAAAAACATTCATAAATAATATTAACTATTATAGTCTAACTAATATAGATTAAAAGTTTATTTGAGGAAAAAAATGCTCACTTTGGGTTTAGTGGATGAGCTAAGCAATGTAATGGTGTATTGCTCTTATTCCACCGATCAACAAGGATAGTATGTCCCACATTATAAAATGATGAATATTCATCATCTCTCTTGCCTTCTTTTATATAAATGCAATTCTTCACTTTTTCAATCATAGAATCCCACATATCATAAATTAAGTGAAGATTTGACTTGTCAATGTCGGCGGAACGAACCATGTTATAGATTGGCTCGGTAAAAGAGATAATATATTCTATTTTATCCCACCAAAAATCATCCAAAATTTTATCCTTAACAAATTGAGCCCTCCCAACATGATCATCTCGATAAAGAATCCAACTCTCACTAATAACAATGTCCATAAGACCTTGTTTGGTCTTCTTGAATCGTCGCAACATGATAACAACTGAAGCAAAACAAGTTTCGGCTATAACAAGCATTTTTAACTTCACATGTTCATTGAACATTGACAATCTCATGGAATGATTCATAATGAAGTTTCTTATAATAACATCATCGCTAACTTCGGTGATCCAACTACATTCCTCATACACTACCTCAATTCTTTCGGCATTTTTCGCAGCATAAATATTTTTTAAGGCAAGATTGAGTGTGTGGACAACACATAGTCCAAAAAATATAAGGATGTCTTCCTTGCACAATGCCTCCCGCGGATTTGCAAACCGGTGCATTATCAGTTATGGCTTGTACAACATATTGAGGACCAACCTCTTCAATGGCTTTCAAGAGAATATCGGCTATATAATCCATATTCTTAGTCCTCCCCTCCGCATTGACGGTATTCAAGAACATCGGTCCATCTTGGTCACCGCCATCACATTAATGAGAGGCCTTCTTTGTGAGTCGGACCACCTATCGCTAACAATAAAAACACCATTTGCTTTTCATGTTAATTTTATGGGTTCTAATAATGTCTCGATATGTGCCTTATCTTTTTGTAAGAGGCTTGTTCTTAGAAGATTGTATCCGGGAGGAATATAATCTCCAAGCGAATTGCTCGTGGCATATTTAAGAGCTTCGATGAAGTATGGATTTCTTGCCAAATTGAATGATAAACCCCCCGTGTAAAACATTCGGGCAATGAGACCATGTAAGTGATCTCGGGCTCCACGATTAAAGGATTGTTCTATGGTGTTTCCCTCATTTCTTCTCTTCTTAGCAACTTCTTTTGTGGTGGTTGTTCTCTCTGTTTTAAAAAACCTCCGCCTAGTCCGTTTAGGCGTACGCCAAGGCCTAGGAGGTACCTAGGCTGCCTAACTAGCGCCTAACGTCTAGACGGTATTTAGGCTGTCCACCTAGATTTTACGAACGTTTAGGAAAGCATTGTCTGCTTACATGGATTGCACATTGTAGGTCTTGGTTGTGATTTTATGTGTTGTTGCCTACATGTCCTCCAAACTCCATTAACCTCCAAATATGAACACCTCTACTACCTCCTCCGACCTTCAGCAAAACATCATCGATCACCACTTAAATGAAGAAAGAAATCCGCCTAGACATTCGTCTGGTATCTAAGATTTCTATAACATTGGCATTCGATATCAATTATTATAATTAAAAATAAAAAAATATCTTAGGCTCTAACCTTATTAATTAATATTTTGGCTATTTAGTATCTAAGTATGCATGATTTATTGTGGAACTAATATTGCTATTTTTTTAAAAAATTTATATAAATTTAATACATATTTTTATCAATTATTATAATTAAATAATTTAAAAATAGTTAAACGCCTAGGCGCTGCCTAGACGTACGTTCAGGGGTCTAGGCGTTAGACGCTCGCTCAAACGCCTAGTCTGCCTAGTGTCTTTTGTTACATTGCCGAGCTCCCCCGATCTCTGTAACTACTAACAAGGTAAAGAATACTTCTTAAATATCTATTTAAGTTAGTTAACAACAGTAACTTAAACCTAAGAAGTATAAGTTAACAGTAAACTTAAGTTTAAGTTTAAGTTTAAGTTAAACTTAAGTTTAAACTAACAGTAAACTTAAGTTTAAGTTTAAATTTAAGTTAATTTAAGTTTTTTGTTGATGGTAAACTTAAGTTTAAGTAAACAGTAAACTTATGTTAATAATATTTTAGTTAACAGTGAACTTAAGTTTAAGTTTATTGTTAACTTAAATTTAACAGTAACTTATAAGTTAACAGTAATTTGAGTTGAGAATGAGTTTTCACTGTTGAGATGAATTATAATTTGAGTTGAGAAGTATAAACATATAAAGAGCTATTGTAATTGGTAAGCCAAACAATTTAGTTAATAGTATTGGTACTTTAGTAATTATGCATCTTTGATTGAGTATATATATATATATATATATTCAAGTATCACAATTAAAAAAGAAAAAAGAAAAAAGACGCCCAGAAACCACTTAGGCGCCCGCCTAGGCGACTAAGCGCTGGGCGCTAAGTCCGACGCCTAGAAGCGCCCAGCGTTTAATGTAACATAGACTTGTTCTTGAAGTAGGTAATGGAACACTCTTGCCCTTCTTTGACTTCAATCTAAGCTCCGCTAGCTCCAACACTTTCTTCATCTCAACAATATTTTCATTCTTCACATTTGCACAACACTTGATTCCAAATAATAGATGTCTTAAGAGATGTGCTTTTACTCTTGAATGAGAACTCTTAAAAGTTTCAAGACAATAATTGCATTGTCATTCCCAATTTCCACCACCTCCCGTTGCTTTTCCAAGTTTTGTGACATATATCCAAAGAGGAGCATTATCATCCTCTATCTCGCTTTGTGAACTTGAGTCTCCATTTAATTCTCTACAATTATTAACAAGAAAATATTTACATATAAGAAATAGAAAGCTATTTTACTTTAATTAACAATTTAGAACTAATATAATTATCTATATAAACAAATACAAGGAGAAACAGCCAAACCAGCCCCATTTTATAATTCAACCCCCAAATTTGTTCAGGAAAAGCCAAACCAGCCCCCAAATTTGTTCAGGAAAAAGGAGAAAAATGAGAGGCATTGATCTTATCGTCGAGGAAAAAGGAGGAAAAGGAGAAACAACAAAAAAACCCTAAAAATCAAACCTGGTCTTCGAGCAGAGATGCTGATCTCGTCGTCGAGGAGTTGTTTCGTCGTCGTTGAGGAGTTGTTTCTTCGTCGTTGAGGAGCTGTTTCTTCGTTGTCGAGGAGCTATTTCGTCGTCGAGGAGAATCCGTCGTCGCTTCCGTTGATGGGTACTAAGGTGGTAAGGCAGAATCGCTTCGAAAGGAGACTGGGTATTTCAAGTGGGTTTGGGTTATTGGGCTCAAATAGCGGACCCAATTTTTTTTCCCCACTCGTGAAATCGTCGTGTCCCTGCCGTTTGGATGCGGATCCGCACCCAAAACGTACCCGACATGGGTACGGGACCAAAAGAAAGCCGTGTCGGGGTATCACAGATTGTTAGTCACGCTAACTAACCAAACATGCATGTTCAACAAGTTGTTGGATTCCCAATGCTCAACTCATATAGCACCCATGTAAGGTCGAAAAATCTTACAAACCCTAAGGTAATTATTTTTTATTTTTAGTGTAAATGATCATAAAAATCAGATTCCAGTTTTAATTGCAATATCTTGCAAGTTTATGCATGTACCACTTGCAAGAATCATGACTAGCAAACTAAGATATGCTGAGTTACGAATCAGTCCCAATACCAGGCAAGTTTCGAAAATGTCAAAGTAATTGGAATTATAGGCGAAATCTCCAAAAAAATAGGTCAGCACCTATTATAAGTCATTGATAACTCTAAATATCTATTGATGGTAACAAGTGGTGCAATGATAATTGCATCACGAAAACTTTCAAAGACAGACTAATTCTTTGGATTCATTTGCTAAGTTTATGCATGTACCACTTGCAAGAATCATGACTAGCAGACTAAGACATGCAGAGCTAAGAAACAGTCCCAATACTAGGCAAGTTTTGAAATGTCAGGTAGCTGGAATTAAAGGCGAAATCTCCAAAAATAGGTCAGCACTTATAGAAGTCATTGATAACACTAAACATCTATTGACGGTAACAAGTGGTGCAATGATGATTGCATCATGAAAACTTTCAAAGACGACTAATTCTTTGGCTTCATTTGCTCTGATGCATATCAAAGTGCCAGGTTGTTGACATAGGATATTAACTTCTAGATTATTGATAGCAATTTCGTTTAGAAAATTGGAAGTTAATCAAAGTGAACTTGCAATTTGAAAGGGAAAAAAGAGATTACATTAATCTGTCGATGCCAAGAGGCTAAAGGTGTGGTATTTTATTACCTCTTAGATTGCTTCGAGTGGCATTGCTGAAAGTGGGCAGTTCAAACTCTTCAGGCTCTGGATAGTGTCTCAAACAAACTCGACGAGAAATCTTTCCAACTGTAATATTTCAACCAAAAAACACTAGGAATAAGTATAATAAAAAAACCAAAGATCAGGAAGAATTTGAAAGCTTCGCGGAAGTGTATCAAAATATTAGATAAATAAATACATCTACTTTGCTATGTATCACATAGTAAAGCATACTTTAATTAGAAGCCACCCAAATCACATGGACATGAATACAACGATACAGACACAAGTACCCTGGACATCAATTTAAATGATAAATTTCCAACTGTTATATGACTACTATAACCATAATTACATGGTTCGCAGTACGTAGCAGGTCATCATACAAATTTGGGCACGCAATTCGAGACTTTGAAATTTTGGATTCGACGGGGGTAGCTTGCTTCGATAGTAGGCAAGTTCGGTATAGGATATGATGTAATTTTTTTGGGTATGCTTATCATTTTCAAAGTGTATAGTAGAAAATTAGAAATTAGAAAACTAATTATGCATTTCAATATTTTTTTCATATAAATACTTCAATACTTCATTTTTATAGTTTTTGAATACATAAAACTTAAAATATTAAATATTAAACAACCTCTTAATAAATTTTTTTCTATTTTGCAACTTTCTTCCTCTTAACATCAAGTGCATCTTCTGCTAATTCTGAGTCCAAACAGTTCCATCTAAGCTCCTCCAACTTACTTGAAGAGTCCTCCAAGTTATCATTACTGGGATTCATATCTCATCCTTTATATGGACCAACTTTGTAATTCTCAAAAAATCGTGACAGGAAGCGAATGTTTGAATGAATGAATACTAACTTATCCGCCCTTCCATTGTTCAATTTGTTCATTTTTACACTATGCATGTAGGAATAAGTACTCCAATTTCTCACAGCTGCAAAGCTACTAATAGGCTGAGACAAAATCTTATTAGCAACATCAGTTAAAGAAATAGTGATCTAGAATTAGTTATTAACTTTGGCCAACTTCCACTTAGGGCCCGTTTGGAAAATGGAAGTATTAGAAGTAAGAAGTAGGTTATAAAAGTAACTTTCAAAGCTATGAAATAGGAAGTAGTGAAAATAGTATTTTTTTTTTTTTTTTTCATATATTTTTAGAAGTAATAGAAGTAGAACTTTTTTCTCTTCATTTACTTTTTTTGTTTGGATAACATTTGGAAATATTACTAGGAAGTAATTTTATCAATAAAAAGTTGTTAGAAGTAACTAATAAATGAAATATTAATAAAAAAATATTTATGTCCTAATTAATATGCATTTCAACTACTTCCGAGCTACTTCTGAGTATTGAGGATTGGAAAAATATTTTGGAAGTAAGGATGACACGTAGGCGCCACATAAGTATTTAGGGAAGTATTGAAAGTAAGTTTTTCAGAGAACCAAACACACTTTTTTGCTTGGAAGTAGCAGAAATAACTTTTACTTCTTTTACTTCAGCTACTTCACAATTACTTCCGTACAAACAAACAGGCCCTTACTGAAAGAGTACTTTCAATAATATTATCAAAACATATAAAAAATCCAAGCGCATGTACACGAAAAGACTTGTAAATCAACTTTGGTCCCCTCATACTTAGCAAGCGGTACGCTAATTTTGGGGAACCGATTCGTGTATCGGAGGGAATCGGTTAGTAAATGTACCGGGAAAATCGGTTCACATGAACTGTTCGACAGTTCAAACGGGGGTCCAGGAAATCGCGCAACTATAACTAAAACATTTTGGATCTTGTATGCGAAAGTGCTTATATACATGTACTTTCTGATGAGCATACACATTGCAAAAGAAGAAAAAAAGATTGTCAATCAAATTAAACTTACGCACCGACTTTTGAATTTGAGGATGTAGGGAGGAACACCGTTGCATCTGGCTCCTGAGCTGCATGGCTAACCAAGTCATATGATTTCCCTGCCAAAATGCAAATGAGAAGAACGCCAAAAATCAAAAACATACAATCAAACCAACCACCTATCATGCGATCTTCCTTTTATTTTATTCCTCCTATTTCTTTTTCCTCGCTAACGAGGATATACAGATTTCTTTGACGATTCGCCAAATCGATCAATTATCAAAAAGAATAAAAGTAACGTAATTTGAAACAAATACAAAATATGCATTGCATCTCACCAGATGAAGTCTCTAAACTCCCCAACTTCCCGTCACGATGCAGCTTTAGCTTCACCTCTTTCCCGTGGAAATCAGTTGGTTTCAACTGCACCAAGATCCCACTAAATATCAAACCAATAAGTTTCCATCGGTCCAAACGCAAGCCAAGAATCAAGGAAGAGTGAGTACCAGCTTGACGGGCCACTGGATAAGCCAGAGCTCCGTCGAGTCCGTCATCGAGAAATCGACAAGTGGCTCGTTATTGTCCTCCTCAAATTCCTCGCCTGGCTTATACCTAAACTCAAATTAAACAAAATAGTCAGTAGAGTTCACAAAATTTCAGCGATTTTTACTCTCTTTTCCAGTAAATGGAACAGATAGAACCTAAAAAAATACCAAATTTGATTGAATTTACACACATAATACACCAAAAGAAACGAGTTTTTTGATACGAACCCCTCAGCAGCGGCGTCCACAGCCATAGATTTAGATGAATCGAAAAAGCAACGATTCCACAAATACTGAAATGTAACGAGGAGGATTGAAGCCCTAAGGAAATTGGGGTTTTTTTTTTTTAAATAAAGATTTTGAAAGGATGTCGGGGATCATAAACCCTAGAGAAAATGGATTAACGGGTGTGTTCGGGTCCTTGCCCGGAAAGTACCCAAACGGGTCCGATAGTGTTGGGCCTTCATAGCTAGGCTTTTGGGACGGTTGGGTACAAGTCCAATCCAAAATCCTCAGCAGTAGTTCTTTTTTATTTATTTTTATTTTTTTAACTGCAGTTCTTAATTAACACGTTATTGTATGGGGTCTCCCCCCAAGAACCAGTTTAAAATAGTTTAATTCCATTGAAAGCATTTTTTGTTATCAATTTATATTAAAAATATATTTTTTTTAATTTTGTTACAATTAACCACTTGCTCCTCTTTTCAGTTAAATTTGTTGGGTAATTGACCCCTCCTAACCCCAACTAAGGATAATCTCTCAGATATATCTGGCATCTAAGAGCATCTCCAGCAGCTTCCCCATCTTCTTGAAATACTCAATTTTGGGGAATATAAAGCTTTTTTTTTTTATCCAACAGATTCCCCATCTCATTCCCCAAAATAGGGAAGAAGGAGAAAAAATATGGAGCCTTCCCCAAATCTGCAGCATTCTCCAAATTTTTGGGGAGAGCTTTATTATTGTAATAAATGCAATTTTTTAAAATAGGGAAGCTGTTGGAGTTGTAGCAAAAATAATTTGGAGAATATGACTTTGTTTCTCCATTTTGGAGAAAATTTTGGGGAAGCTGTTGGAGATGCTCTAACAACTAATTATCGTAGAAAAACTGAAAAAAAATAGACTAAAAAGTGAATCTAAGCAATTGATTACATTAAAAAATCGTTAATTTGGCTTGTTGTAAGATACAGTTTCAATCATGTTGTACGTGAACTTGAAATTCTTATGATTTAATCAAAATTTAAAAAATTATTTCAAAAATTAATTAAAGATAAAGAATGAAACACTTAATTCATGTTTAACGGCGCTCCAAGTATAATAAGATAAAGAATGAAAATTAGTTAAAGAGAGATATTTTAAGTTGCAACAAAAATAACATCGTAACAACACTTACTCATATCATATCAGTGCAGTTATATCCTTTTTAGTTTAAAAAAAGTAAAACTTAATAGACAGGTTGTAAGGAAGACTTCAGTTACAATGAAAACAAACAACAACCTTTTTATTTTTTATTTTTTTATTTTGCAAATTATATTTAAATCTGAATTTGTTATTTTTCATGAACCAAAATAACCCTTTAGTATAATGTCAAACCATTTTCAAATAGTTACAACATTAACCAATACATATTTGTCTTGGAACTTTTTGGTAAAATAACCTCCTTTCTAATTCAAAAAGGTTATGTACCAGATACACACATCAACACAATGTTCTAATTTGGGAGTTTTGTAACGAGAATGGAGGAAAATTTATTGTAACTTATTTGGGAGTTCTAATGAAGTGAAGGATTTCGAAATTTAATCCTAGTCGTTGACCTGTGATTATAAGACGTAAAATTATCTTTTATGTTAAAAAGTTTTATAATTAATTCCCTTCCCTGCCTGAGCTTAAACATTAGGGTCTTTTAAAATTTGGGTTATTTGGTGTTACTCCCTCATATCATTACTATTTTGTTATAACTCCCTCAAATCGTTATAATAGCTATTAGGTCCCCACAATCACATTAGTGAGTTGAAATAGGTCCCTCTATTCATATAACCTTTGAAATGCCTTAACTAGGGTTAGGTTAAGGGTGACTAAGGTTGTGCACTTCCCTTTTTTACCCGTGGAAGTTAATTCTCCTCAGAGCTCTTCATCTCCCTCTATCTAGTTGTTATTTCCTATTAAATTGATGAGAGAACGAGTTGTTCCCCCTCAACTTTCTCCCTACTATAAATCTAAGAGAGTATAGGGTTAGGGTTAGAGAAATGGAGAATAATGGGTAATTGGAGGTGCTTCGATGGCATTTTATAGACTTCAACAAAAGAACCATTGAGCGAGAAAAGTAAATGGGTTTAAATATTGTTGATGCTCGATATCAAACAACCAAATCATCCAGGAGAGGATGGTTGAGGGGTGATGTGGGAAGATGGAGGGTCCGCTCCATTCTCCGACTTTATACCTAGTTCTTGAACAAAGGTTTGATGTCCACGCTGCACAGACAAGAAAAACTCGTGAGAGGGCGGGGACCGGTTCCCCGGTGTTTCCTCCGATGATCAAGTCAGTTGATGAACTTAAGCTTGAGTGGAGGATAGAACTATGTGTTTTTATGCTACGTGCATTAAAGATGATCATCTCTCAAATTGGGTTAAGAGGAAGATTTAGATTGTCTTTTTTGCTTACCTCGCTCTGATGGTCAATAGTATCCATATATAGAGTAGCTCTCCTCTGGCAGATTTGTTATTTCGGCCATGCAGAATGGCGGTGACCAAATGTGAGCTGGGAGGTGAATCATCATTCGCTTTACAGGCGTCGGCTGACGACTGGAGGGGAAGTCATCTCAGCATGGGAGAGGGTATCTCCGCGATTTCCGGTAAGTGACTTGTGAGTGTGGCAGAAGTCACGTGGGCATACTGAGTCATCCATTGCTTTACAGATGTCGGCTGGCGACTGGAGGGGAAGTCGGTTCATTATGGGAGAGAGTGTCTCCGCATTTTCTGGGACGTGATTGAACTAAAAAGTCATGGAGGCTTATTGGGCCAAGATCTGGATAAGGCTTGTCCGAGGTGGACTGAGATGTCGAAATATGCTCTGGGAGAGAGGCTTGAGACCAAGGTCGAGTCCTCAACTTAGTCGACAGCAGGGAATGTCCCTTAAGTCATTTCTGAGAAATGCCCAGTGAGTGGTCGAGTGCCCTAAATAGGGTCGTCCTTGATGATAGGGTCGACCGACACTGCCTTTCGTGTCGACTTAGGAGTGTCGGCCTGTCCGACTGGTCAGAATATCGTATTGTCTCAGCTTAATAACCGCCTTTCGAGCCGATATAAAGATGTCGACCCGTTCGGGAGTTCTGGATCTCTCGTACCGGCTAGTATTGCCTCTTGTGTCGACATCCAGGTGCCGGCTTAATGAGTCAGTGGGGCCGAGGCCTCTGTAATTGTGCATTGGGTTTATCCCTTATAAGGTACCAAGGTCTTGTAATTTAGCCATGATGGTCGAGTTGCACTGGAGGATTTGACCATATGTTGTGCCTTGAGTTTACCCTGAAAAGGTACCAAGGGCTTGATATCCGACTGAGAAGTCGAATGCCTAGAACTCTTGAGAGTTGACTAGGACTCTTATCATATCATTTTACGAATATCGTATCTTGGGTGAGTGAACACCATAACAGATACTCTTTATTTAGACGTGTCTAGATTAATGTATTTAGTTCTTCTTTATTATAATAATCCCACCTAATTAAAGGGGTTTATTTCAACACACTTCTGTGATTTGGAGGATTTAACAACTTTTACTATGATTTGAGAGACTTATGTTAAAAACTAGTGATGGTTTGAGGGACTAAGATCGAAATAACTCTTGAAAATTATACAAACCACCGTGAATAGTAACAAATTGTCATGTACGCTGATTTGGGGGACTTATGTTTAAAACTAGTGATGGTTTGAGGGACTAAGATTGAAATAACCCTTAAAAATTATACAAACCACCGTGAATAATAAGAAATTGTCATAACCTGTGTTAATATGAATGGTAAAAAGTATAAGGGCATGTTTGGCAACTCTCTCCAAACTGGGTCAGCCTGTTTTTATTTCTTAACCAGGCCAGAATTGAACCAGAAAGGGGCTGGTTCAATTATAGTCTGGTTAAAAGCCTTCAAAATGAACTAAAAACAGTTCGGCCAACTCTAACCCAACTTATTCTTATAACAAAAAAAAAAAAAAAATACTAAACTTGAACCAGGTTTGAACATTTTAGTAATTTGTCAGACAAGGCCTGAGCTACCATGTTACTATCTTCTTCTATAGGCAACCTTCTGACTTTGGCTCAATCCCGCCAATTTTCATGGTTCAAAATCACCCAAAATTCCCCGCATTAATGGCCTAAAACACATAATTTCGTTCTCCAAAACCCATGTTTCTCCAAAATCCCTGATACAAATACGACCTCTCACCCTAACCAGATAGAGAAATATTACCGCAATTCCGCACCTCCCTTATTTTTTTTAATTACACAAAAAACATTCATAAGTGGTACAGCGTAACAGCAACATCAATGCATTTGTCCTAAATTTTACGGTACAACAGTGAATCATAGGCTTTCAATCGGTTACGCACATGAGTACGCCATCTCAATCGATTCTCTCTCAATGTTGTCCTCAATAGAAAGCTAACACAATGAAAGAGATACTTTAGGTTGTTTGATCGTGAGCAACGAAGACCATGGAATGCACTAGTTCGAAGAAGTGATCAGATGATATTTAATGGAGTAAGAATCAGATGATGACCTGAAAAGCTTACAATTAACAAGGTTATTAGAAAACGGAAAAAAGGTGCACATCTCATGACAAGGTTTCCAGAAAACAGTTAATAAAAGCTTTTGCAACACTCAATGATAATTTCGCCGTAGTAAATTGTTATAGGTCATGGGAGTTTTATGTACCAAAACAACCCAGAAACAAATAGTCATGATACACACTATACATAAGTAAATAGCTTGGTAAACTTGCCCCTAGCATCCTTGGGGCTATAGGGGAACTAAGTAGGCGCTGTAGGTGTCGCTGATCGGCACACTGCACCCTCAGCCTAAATCTTATTATGCATCCAACCTCCGGTATTTTATTTACACTCTCTGCCAGCTTCCCCTCTGAATTTTGGACACAAAGCTGGAATCACCTCAATTTTATGGGCTCTCACAGAACTCCATCTCCTGAGAGCAACAAAAAGAGCAAATGATAAGTATTTAAGACAAAGAGATTACAATTAGATAGATACAGGCGATATGCCCGCCTCCGTTTAGTTTGCAGAGAGCAACTATAGACTACAGGCACCTGTTTGGTGGAAAATTTGTGAAATGAAAATGAAAGAACTGTGTTTGATTTTATTCTCTCTAACTGCTTGAAAGAACTGTGTTTGATTTTATTCTCTCTAACTGCTTAGAAAAAGAATGTTTACAACTCTCTCAATCTCAATTACAGCTTAGAAAAAGAATGTTTACAACTCTCTCAATCTCAATTACAATTTGGATTTCCTGATTATAAAAGAGAAAAAAATTGATTTGAATTCTCTCATTTGTTTAAGTCTGGGTTCTTCACGGTGGCGATGAAGTGCCTCCCTCGAATGCTCGCGTCTAGTTTGCTCTCCGTTGACGATCTGCACATCTCGATTCACTGGAACTACTAACTTGCGTGGCAAGTTTTAAAAAAAGAACTCTTAATGAGTTTAAGAACTCAAAGCGTGTTGAAACTCTGTCAAAAAGAGTTGTTTGAACCGAAAATTCGGTTAACAGCCAAGTAGATTTTCTGTTGCTGAAGGATGCTCCAAGATTTGATCTTCTTGTTGCAAAAGATCCGATCTCTTGAGGATGATTGCCCCTAGATCTCCCATTTCTGCCAAAAATCCAAGAAGAATCAGCCGATCCGAACTCCAAAAATCCAACCCTCTATTATGTTGAGTTTGTTAGGGTTTTATAGGAGGATTAATGGTGTAACTGACCCCTTAATCCGCTCCTAAGTAGGCGTAATTTCCTCAGATCGTGGGGAATACGATTCTGAAACCGTTCAGCTCATGTTTGAATGAGTCAAACGCCCAAGTCGACGTTCGGGACTCTAACTCTGCGTCTTAGGCTTGAGACACAGAGTTGGGTGTCTGCTGGATACTAAAAACGCAAGGGCCGTTTGCGTTTCGTTTGTTGAGGGTTGGAAACGCAGGGGTCGCCTGCGTTTCAAGAACTGAAACGCAAATGTGAGTTCTGCATTTAGAAGGGGCTAGTGACTTGTAACATCTTCTGTAAAGCGTTGCAAAGACCATTGTTTAGTAATCTTCGCTTTAGCTATTTTGAGGTGTGAAAGTCGTCAGATTGTAACTCTCACAGTTGATGGTAAAGGCCACTGAATAGAGTTTTCATCAGTCGTCGGAAGGGTCGTTGAATTGTAACTCCTCGAACTATGTAAAAAATCTCCATTTGCAGCTTTTGTGAAAGTCCTTTGATTGTAACTTTCGTTATCAAAATATTGATTGAGGTTTGATAGGGATCAGCTATCTGTCGTGATTTTTAGACAGCCTACAGCACCCATCTGAATATTTCTTCTCTCTTAATTCAGCTTTCAAATGCAACAAGAGGAATTTCAAGGTAAGATTTTTATTTTATCATTATCTCATCACATTCTGAGGGTCTTAAGAAAAGCCAAAGCTTGGCTGCTGATGAAAACCACATATCTGAACGGAAGCATCAAAGCATAGACACCATTATCCTGTACAATCAGATACCATACAACTCATTGATCGGCATTCTCTATTCTCGGTGCCACCACTAACATATTTAACAAATTTGTTTCATAGAGTAAGATATGTCTTCTCCTTTAGTTTGTGGAGAGGAACTATGTAACACAGGTACACATCAACAACATTTCTTTTCTTTCTCCTATCTTCAACTTATAATGGAATAAGAGGAATGTCTAATTAGAATTTTCAGTTCATCTTTATCTCACAATATTTTAAGGAGTCGAGAAAATGCAAAGCTTGGTTGTTGAACTGAAACCACATCACAGAACATAAGCATCAGCATGCACACACTATTAGACACTATTTCATTCATAAATCCATATTCTCTATTCTCAGTGCTACCACTAAATTCATTTAACTAGATATAACTTGAAATTGGGAGCTTCATCTAAATTTTATTTCTCAGCCCAGATGCAATTGCAACCCTTTAATTGGGCATGAATTCAGTATTAGTGACACCTTTCTAATTTTCATCTTGTACTAGAGTTTATTGTCGCCAGCTGCAACTACCTACACACTCTGAACACATTAACATTAAATTAAAAGCTTATCGTGATCCTACATTTCGTCACAATAATGACATAGACTATTGTTACAGCGGAACTGTGACTGGTCTGATCAATCTTCTTGAGATGAAGACGAGATTGCCAAAAACAGAATGCTGAGAAATACTAAATATCTTGAAAAATACTTTGAAGAACATCTAACACTCTTTAAGCCCTTAGGCTGCTTCAAGATTCATGCAGATTCGTTGAATGCACCATATATAAAAGAAGAGACGGTGCATGAATCTAGAAGAACATCTAATGGCTGAAAGGATGTTATTCATTCTTTCAGAACGAAGTGTAAATTGCATAGTCCAACCTCATTACCTTAAACAAAACAGTTTATGTTCCAGAAAAGCAAGGGTGAATTTGGATAATGAGGACAGTACAATAATAATCTAGGGGTGACAATCAACATGCTCTTCTCTGCATCTGTGTGTCTATGCAGCAATATGAAGAATATTGTGGCAGAAGATAAACATTATTAATAGCACAAGATAGGTATCAGAGGAGAGCATGAACCTGTATCTTATCTGTGTAGAACAATCTGATAAAAAATGTAAACACTACTCACAATCAGCTAACTACAGAATATCAATGAATAAAACATGAAAAAATGGGGTTATTTCGAATTAACCCCCCAAATATTCAATATTAGCCTCCCAAATCTTTGAAATTGCTA